AGAAACTAGAATAAATATTAAAAGTAGCATAAGGGGCTGTTTTTACAATAGTAGAACCAGGATTACTAGAAGGAACATAATTTATAGGTGATTTAAATTTATATTTAATCTTATAAACAATAAAATTACATAGAGCCACCAAAATAAATGTTGCTCTAATAGTTGGTTGAGCCACAAAGTGACATTGAGCTACAAATTGCATTGAGCCACAAACTGACATTGAGCTGCAAATTGACATAGAGCTGTCGGGCACTCAGGATGAGTGCCCTTGGAAACTGAGCCAGCGAAATTTCAGGGGTTGCAGCGCCCTAGCTGCAACCTTGGCACGAGTAGAGGGAACAGGTGTTCATTCACAAATGTAAACTGCCCATGAGGAAAGGGAGTGGGTAAACAAAAAATCAAGAGGGCGGGGATCAAGGCGAAACAATCCAAGAACACACAAAGGACAATCAAGGAAAGCTGCCTAGTAATGCCATGAGGCAACCCAAAGCACGTCTCCATCTTCCCATAAACATCCATAGTCCATTTCCATGCACAGAACACATCTCGTTCTTAAATCTTTCCTTATGAAATATCCTCCTCATATTGTTGACAGGTTTGCAACCACCAGTACGCAGCAGTTACATTTGTCTATGGCACTGCGTTTAAATCCCTCACATCACAATTAGATTTTTCAAATTCATCGATAAACACTTGAAAGTTTGCGTAAAATTCCTCGGTACCGGTTTTACTAGTATCAGCTAGCACCCCGGTGTGAATACTTAGAATCTCGAGCGTTTCCTTGTGTGCTGGAAAAGTCAGCCTTGATTCTTAATTTGAGATATGATACTGGAGTCTACTCACTGATCTTCTGTACATCCGAAGGAGTCATTCCGTAAAGCTGGAGGAAGATCCTACCATCGGTTCTCCCACCTACCCCCTCATAGAGCTGGGCATCCACAGCTGCGTCGCCCCCACGCACTGCTATATTTCCCTCACGAATAACACCGTGGTCCCTCCGGGGGGCTTCGCCGATATCCCGCTTATAGGTACTGATAAACCTTTCTCGCACATGTCTATACTCCCCAACAGCAAGTGTCAATGTGGACAGACGGTCGTTCATATAAATGGCCCTGTCCTTAAGAGACGCGATATCATGCCTAATAGAAGCTATATCATGCCTAATAGAAGCTATATCATGCTTAAGAGAAGCAATATTATGCTCGGATACATGAGCGAGGTGCTTCAAATCCGCCAAATCAAGACCATGGCGATTACCGACAAAAGTCACCCCCCTCACCCTCTCAACCTCCAGTTCCCCCTCCTCTAGTGCCTGTCCGAGCTCAACTTTGGCATCCATCTTCGTTCCCTCATCGGAACTGATTTTTGCTTCGGTGGCTAATATTGCATCGCACTTCGGGTAATCTTCACTTTCCGGCGAACTCTCTCTGCACTCCATCCAGTCCTCCAGCCGCTTGGTGACTTGCTCATTACTTCTTTTAGTTCCAAGTCCTGTGGCCCCGCATTCCTTCCGTAGGTGTTCCAAAACGGGTTCATTGGGCATGATTGTTGTTAGCGTGTTTGTTGCGTGGCTGTGGGTTGTTCTTTGCCTGATCTGAGAGTGGGAGGGACTTCGTGACTTCTCCCTAACAGGGGCGAACCTAGTCCTCTTATATGATGCTACGAATCAGAGGCGATGAATCGACGCGCACCGGAGGGGTGCGAGAAAACTCTTGGACCAGGCCACCCCGACACCCTAACGACGCCAATAACCTGGCAGTTGTGCTGGAATGCTCAGGAAAGCACAATGGATCAGACGCGATGAAGATGCGTGCAATGGAGAGGCACGAGAAGATTCCTGGACCAGATCACCCAGACACTCTAACAAATATCAGTAGCCTGGCTGCTGTTCTGCAATACAAAGGAAAGCACAATGAATCAGAGGCGGTGCATCGGCGTGCATTGGAGGGCCGCGAGAAGATTCTTGGACTAGACCATCCCAAGAGCCGGTTAAGTGCCTGCAACATGTCCTCACTGCTGCCACTCCGGGGAGAGTATTGCGATTCAGTGCCAATCAGGCAGTCTCCACGTTGGCCACTGTCAAAGAATCCAGACAATGCCTGACGCCATTCGGCTACCCCCACCCTCCACCGTTCATTGAGGACCGCAGTTCTTGGCAAGCACAACAGGCCGTCTGTGATTCACCATATCGCAGGCAGGTTTTCCGGACTCAAGGAAGTGGTCTACTAGTTTCTACCGGCGCGGGAGAGAGTAGGAATACAAGGGGAGACAATGACACACTGCACCTGACATGTAAGAATGATGAACTGGAGGGTACGGAGAAAGTGTTGCTCATTTTTATCCTGTCTCTTTCGTTTATTTCGCACTGCCCCTTTCCACTTCCTAGCCACATATTACTTCATGTTTAATAGTTTTCCACGTCTGATCGGCGGAAACCTTCACGATATCGAAACGAACGAGCGAGCGAACGAATATCGAAAACGGTTGGCGATAAGAATCTTAACGAGTGCTGGGCGGTGAAATGAGGCAACACTAATATCACTCACGTGGGGGAATCACAAAACTAACAGTGGAGAGAAAGCTCTTCATCTCGCCAACCTCTCCAAACTATCGCGCACTCTCTCTAACTAATCAACGGCAACGACAGGAGCATATATCAACAACACGAAAGGCGACAGAGTCCTAACCCCCCCATCCTTCCAGGTACGTCTCCCGTACACTTAGCAAACAAAAGCTAACAAAGAAAAGACAAACTTCGGCTACCCAGCCTCCGGCCCTCCTTTGGCCTCACCGGTTTCCTTCATGCCTTCCTCCCTTCCGCCATCCTTCCGGCCGATGCACGTCTCCAAAGACTCCCGCACATTCCCACGATTGAGACGCTTTCCCGAAAAGCCAACTGCGTGGGCTGATGCCATAGTGCGCCCGCAGCCATAGCGCGCTCCCGAACAAACAACCCATCGTGAGTGAACATACCGAGCAGCACCTCGGGATTTACAACAAATAGGAAATGATGTCATATATGCTGTTACCAGATCGGCTCTTGTAATTTCCTCACTACCGATAATCATTCGAAGTTACTCGTTTGTTGTCCTTCAACTGTGTATCATAAATGCTATAATACAACCAAAGTTACATACCAGCACCCCCTACCTCCCCCACCCAGTAGACCATATGCATCTCTGCATTGAAAGGCGGTAAAAGAACCTGTAGTACACCTATCTCACCTATCCCCGGGATCACATGGACTTTGAATCACAACCTGCCCACTTTCCACACCAGAGACTCCCGGGTTGTCTTATTGAGGACGTAGTAGGCCACACCCATACCACCAAAACCGTCCGCAGCCCGACCAAGCTGCTGCTACACTAAGGATAGTACTATAGGCCTGATACCGCGGGTTGTTTATAATATTGAGAAGCATCGGTACCCATTTCTCCATCACGACCACACAGATCTGGCCTATGTCTGCGGAAGTTCGTAGCTATCCTTTTTCTCTAGTTTTTCTTTACATAATGGGGATATGAGGCCTATTTACCGTTGAATATGTAGCAGCTAAGTCTCTTGCTTCAAGGATGTGGGAGAGAGGCTGGAAGTCGGAAAGCGGAAGCCAGTGAGGAGAAGGAAAAGGTATTTGGAAAGACACGAGAAGTAGCGGGTCTCCTTCCTTACTTCTCGTGTCTTTCCAATACTCTTTTTCAGAAGCGAGAAGCAAAGGGAAAAAAAAGAAGAGAACGGAGAGAAGAGAACTGAAGGGAAGATGGAAGAACCAAGAATTCTCGAGTCTATAGGACTTTTTTATTATATGAGGCCGTCTGTTCGCTTGGGAGCGAAGTAGGTGGAAGAGGAAGCAACGACGATTTAGAAATCTGGATGTAATTCATAGACCCACGGGGGTGTGTATGCCGGATGGGTAGTTTCCCCGCACATTGCCGAGATAAAACACATTGAGAGACAAGAGCGTCCGGTAAACAAAGGTCCAGGA